TATATATATATATATATATATATATATATATATATACACAATGGTAAAAAGAGGGATATTCCAACAGACTGTATTGATGCTAACTGGCCTGTTCCTGAACATAATGTTGCTCACCTGTCACTGGGAGATGAATGGAGATAAATGGAGGTCTTATACCTTTCTGAGAACACAAAGATAATTTATTTCACTGGATTTTCTTTTTATATTTTGAAAAATATAGCGGGAAAAATCTTTTCTTCTTTTGGGGCACCCCTCAGTCAAGGGTCCTTAGATTCTTCCTAACTCCCCCCCAGAATCGCCCCTAGCGGTGGTCATTAGATGTCCCCTCTACAGGTACAGATGCTACACCTTTAATCACTGAAACTTCCTGCCTATCGCTTCTTTAGCGGTTATATTAAATATAAAGATTAAATATTTTAAAAACAAATTGGGACATAAGATCAAAAACAGCAGGTAAAAAAGCTAAAAAGTTAAGATAACTCAGGGCGGTGGTGGGAAGGCTGCGGAGAGTTCAGTGGCCTGTGTGGCCTTCCCCTCTGCCCAAAGGAACTCTGGGAAATGTAGTATCACTGAGAGGAAAGGGTGTTTTTATTTCCGTTTTAACATATTAGGGTGGATATTTATATATATATAAAAAAAAGTATTTGAAAAATACCAGGAAATAACAGAAATCCGTGATTCTGACATCATTGGTGCCTGCAGCATATTTCCTTCTTGGACTTCATATCCCAGGATGCTTTTCGTTTCTGCGCATGCGCCGTGAGGTCGGGCTGATAGGGGGCGAGACGATGAGAACCGTGATGCGGGAGGCGAGAGTGTGGCGGTGAAATTTGACATTTTAACCATGAATTGTTTTCTTTTTCTATAAACGCGGAGTTTTGGTTTCTGCGGAGGTCTGCGGGAGCAGCTCGGCGGGACGAACGGAGCCAGCAGAAGCTTTTTTCGGCTGTTTTTCCGGCGGAGCGGGGGCTCCCTGGTAACCGTTAGAGATTTTTTTTTTCTTCAGCCAGAATGCCGCGAGACAACAAATGTGCTCTGATCCAGAACATAGCGAAGCAGGCCTCCTTGGCGTTCACAGACTGCAGGGCTGCGGGCGGCGGCGTAGCGGCGGATCGGCTCCATGAACTCATCTCCTTGGTCACCTCCGTCCGGGCCAAAGACCTCAAGATCATTCCGCCGAAAAGCAAGCCGAGCTCCGGAGCTGCTGCCTCTCTCGGCCCCCCGGTCACCTACATGCACATCTGCGAGACGGAGGTGTTCAGCATGGGGGTGTTCCTGCTGAAGGCCGGGACCTCCATCCCGCTGCACGACCACCCGGGGATGAACGGGATGATCAAGGTGCCTCCTGCCGCTCCTCTGGTGCCCGGGTCAGCCGCTGCTGCTGCTGCTGCAGCTCCTCACCTGAACACCTGCTGTCGACCTGACCAATCACAGACAAGCTGAGCGCCACGCGCTCATTCTGATATGGTGTCAAATTTGGCCCACAATTGTTGAAAGGAGAGGATATAGACCGCGGAGTATTAGGGCCAGGCTAGAGATTTATTTTCTCTTCTATTTCGAGAATAAAGTCGTAACATTATGACAATAAAGCCGTAACATTACGAGAATAAAAATGTGACATTACGAGAATAAAGTCTTGATATTACGAGAAAAAAGTCACGAGAAGTCATAAAATTACGAGAATAAAACCGTAACATTACGAGAATGAAGCCGTTACAGTATGAGAATAAAGTCATGATATTAGGAGAAAAAGTCACAACTAGAATAGTCATAAAATTACGAGAATAAAGTTGTAATAAGAGAAAGAAGTCACGAGAATAGTCATAAAATGAGAATAAAGTAATATAACAAGAAAAAAGTCACAACGAGAATAGTCAGAAATTTACTAGATTAAAGTCGTAATATTAAGAGAATAAAGTTATATTTTATAATTCTTCCAAGAAGCACTTTCTTTTTACGTCTTTATTCTTAAAATAGAAGAAAAATAAATCCCTAGTCTGCCCTAATACTCCTAAAAACCTTTGATTTCTTATTTGGAAAAAATTATGTCTGAAACTAACAAGTAATTTGAAAAGCGATTAATCTGTCGGTTATTTTTTCAATTAATCGATTAATAAAATGTACAGCCAATGGTTCCTCGAAGAAGACTTTTTGGAAAATGAAAGCAGGTGAAACTAAAACTCCTCCACGTGAAGAGATCTGGATTCTAGAGCAGATTGACAGACAGAAAAGATTTTTTTTAACTTGCAAAATGTTTAGTTTTACTTTTACAATAGCTCTGTCAGCTAAAGGCATGTTTTTCTATTTTCCAGTTTACAATTAATCAATCACTGAATTCGTTAACGATTATTTCAATAATCGATTAGTCAATTAATTGTTTCAGCCCTAGAAAAGATGCAACCTAGAAATGAAACTTTTAAATATGTTAATTAAGATAAGGTTTTGAGTGTAACTTAATTATATAGCGGGACTTCTTAGATTTCGTGATTTAAATTTTTTTTATTTATTTTTCATAAATGTTTTCTTCAAATGTAATCATTTTTAAAATAGATTTTATGTTTCCGTTTTTTTAATTATCAGATTAAGTTTGGCAAATTTCATTCTTATTCTGATTATTTTCACTTCGAGCCCGATCCAAACGCTCTGGACCAATCAAAATCCGGACGCTCACACAGACCAGTAGAAATGCGTCTCCTGCACAAGGGAAGAGAATGAAAGGAGAGATGTTTGTTAAAAGCCAATATAAAAGGAATAAAATTTGAAAATCTAAAATCTGTCAAAACTTTTTTTGGGAAAAAAAGTGAAAAAACAAAATCTCAGAAAACAGCTAAATTACTTTCAGACCGTTTTTGATTAAAACCTTTTTTAGTTACATTTTTGAAATGAATAAATTCTAATTTACCATACATGTAACTTCCACCAATAATGGAACAAAATTCTCTCCATATTCATCCTTATTTAAACAAACTTTAATGAAAGTATAAAAACTTAACCTGTTCATCTGTATGGGCTTTTAGTTTCTAACTAGAAAATCTATATCTATAGCTATATTTATGCCTGTATTAATGAGGAATCCTCCCGACATGAGGAAAACTTTTAAAGATGATTGATGAAGCAATGAGTATTAAATCCTTAAAAAACAAACGCAGTAAACAGACAAATTGAAACCTTTATTTCCACTTTTCTATCCAGTTTTTTGTTGTTGTTTGTATTTTTTGTAATTGCTAAAAGGACAACAAACATTTATAGATTTTAACCAAACAACAGATTGGATCATTAAAGAAAGAAGGAGCCGCGTTACCAGAAAGGAAGGGATATTGTTTATATTGTTTACTGGTTTTCCTTTTCTTAAAACCTTCCAGATCTTTTCTTCCATGGTGATCTTCACATCCCTCTCCAACAGGAGGGGTGAACTTTGCCTGTTTCTTATCATCAAGCAACAAAAACCTTTTTTTTTAAAAAAAGTCTTAGATGAGTAAACTCTGAATTTTTGGCCCCTGATTACTTTCAGTTTGTCATCTTTGGCTCCCATAGACGCCATGATTAAAGGTTAAAGCATCAGTGTAGAATGCTACGGAAGCCTTCAGGGGACAAAGCAGGATAATTGATCACAAACCAGCAGGATGGAATAAAAGGATCGTTTGAGTCGTCTGGAGGAGGAGTTATACTGATAAATATGGGACACAGTCTGAGAATGTTCTCAGAAAGCAGTCAGTCAGTCGGTCGGTCAGTCAGCTGGTTGGTCAGTCAGTCAGTCAATCGGCCAGCCATTCAGCAAATCAGTCAGTTGGTCGGTTGGTCAGTCAATCAGCCAGGCAGTCATTCAGCCAGTCTGTTGATCAATCGGCCAGCCGTTCAGCAAATCAGTCAGTCAGTGTGTTCAGGGTTACTAACTGCAGCAGAGACGTGTCGACAAGTCAGTCACCAGGACTTGGCAGGAAGTTGTCAGTCAGCTGACTTTTCCTCAGTGAGACTCGCGTCTCCACAGCTCCTCATAGGATCACATTCATAGATCTACGAATGTAGAGCCACTGCTGTTTCTATTCAGTAAAGTTCTTCAAAGGTGGACTGAGCCATAAGCTACTGGGTTCTTCCTCCCTTAATCTACGGAGAGAATTACGCTCCATCATTGCTGCAAGAAAAAAGTTCAGTAAAAATAGAAATTATAAATAAATTTCAATCCAGAAAACGGTTTGATTAAAAAAATAAAAAAAAAGCTTTGCTTTTGTTCAAATCTAGTTTTATAAATCTGATTTTCCCTTCTGGGGGCGGGGCTTCCTCTGGATCGAGGAGCGCAGGCGTGTTTCAATTGGTCTGCTGGACGTTAGCGACATCACTGCATCAGTCACTTGATTTTGCTTTAATTTGAGCAGCTCAGGAACACTTTGTTCATGGAATCAGATTTAGTTTAAAAACAACTAATTTATCTTCTTTCTAGCTCATAACATCTAATGAACTCATATCTACATCCGTTCACTCAGATGGTTTTTAGCCTGATGTGAAGCTCAGGTCAGCGTCACTCCTGGTTACTAAAGAGAAGGACTCCCTCCTCCCTGGAAGCCTGAATGTTTTCATGTTTTTTTTTCCATCCCTCTCTGTCGTCCCTCCAGGTTCTCTACGGAAAAATAAAGGTCAGATGTTTCGATAAGATGGAGAACAGCCTGACGGCGGTCCCTCAGTTCGACCCCCCCCCGGCCCCGCTGCAGGCGGCCGCGCTGTGGCGCTCCGTGCTTCGCTCCGTCGCTCAGTACGCTGAGGACAGCGGGCCGTGTCTCCTCACTCCTGTAAGGGACAACCTCCACCAGATCGACGCGGTGGACGGGCCGGCCGCCTTCCTGGACATCCTGGCGCCGCCGTACAGCCCGGACGACGGCCGGGACTGTCACTATTACAAAGTGCTGCAGAGCGTGGCGGAGCCGGGAACGGGCGCCAAGGTGGACCAGGAGCAGCTGGGAGAGACGGAGGAGAACGAGGGCTGGCTTCTGGAAATCCCACAGCCGGAGGACTTCTGGTGCGGCGGCGAAGCGTACCCCGGCCCTGTGGTGTCACTCTGAGCGGCGCCTTCTGTTGGGCCGGCTGATATCAGAGGACCGATGCTCCTGAACGCTGCGGCCGCCTTCTAGTTGTTTTATCTGCCGAACGATCATCATTAGAAACTAGCAGAGTACCTCCACATGGTGATGCCTTCATGCCAAAGCTCCTTCCTGCCTTATTTGTGAATATTTGTACACCTGAACGCACCCCTTCCTGCCTCCTAAGTGCCCACACTACATGGTAGAAACGCTTCCTCCTCCTGAAGCTTTAAACGTCTTCAGAGATGAAACTTCCTGATGCTTCCAGGTTCGTCTGAGAACAGAAAAAGCTGCTTTTTGTGATGTTTGATTTCCTCTTATTGTGACACGGTCCGGTTCCAGGTCCACTCAGAGTGCTGTGTTACACGCTATGATGGCGTGAAATCCCCATCAGCATCACTCCTGCCCTAACCTCTACCGTGCCTTCCTGTGTGCCCACGCTGTTTGCAGTAACGGCTGTTTTCCTGCGGAATAAATCTGCCAAAGATGGTGGACCTTCAGCGCTGCTCGGTTTGTGGGTCGCCTTGGAAACCGCCGGGGCTAAAATGGAAGCTAAGCTGGTTACTGACGTCTGGATCCCAATCCGTTCCTAACAGACCCACTGAGGTCCCACCCACTGTTTCATCTCTACGTGTCATCATTTTATTATTTAACTGTTTAGTTCATTATTCTAAATGTTGTTTGAAATATTTCACAGAAAGTTTCATTATTGAACTCTTCATGTTACAATTTAAATGTCTATTTTAAAATCTGAATCATCTTTTACGTAAATAAATAAATGTTCTTGTTATGGTAAATTTATTCTTCATGTTTTCTGGTCCTCTATTTACCTCAGCGATGACATCACAACGATTTAAAAGAAAGCATTTTCTGACCCTCCATTTGGTGTCTCCTGACCCTCCAGAGGGTCCCGACCCCCACTTTGAGAACCCCAGGATATCAACTTCCCATAAAATCAATAGTTCCACTGTTATAAAAAAGTGTATTATAGATTAAATGCAGCAAGAATGAAATGAAGTCTAAATAATTCAGTGCTGTATTTATGTCACATTAATACTTCTGCACATGTTTTGCCATTTGCAACAGATTTTTTAAAAATACATACGATTTTTTTTCCTATATTCTAAATATTTAGAAATGTTGAAGTATCTGGTTCTAGATTATTTGAATAAAATAACAGCCCTATCTACATGATTCAAATATATTCTGAAATACATTATTTAGTAATTTACTGTCTGATTAAATAAAATGTCGAATTAAAGCAGTGTCATTTAAAACATGAATGTATTTTAAAATGAATTTGTTCTTTTTTTGAATAAATTCCTGAGCTGATTGATTCTCTGTGTTCCTCCAGGCGCTCAGCCGGCTGCTGCATCGCTGTCTGTTTGCTTCACACGTTAAAATGTTTGGGAAATCCTCATCTAGAGCCGAGCAGCTGGTCTGTAGGTGAAGTATGGAGTGAACTTTGATCCATTATTGTTGCAAGCGTTTTATATATGGAAATTAGAAAATTGTATATTTCTAATTTCCATTTACAAAAAAACATTTTTTTTGCAACAATAATGGAACAAACTTTACTCCATATAATGTCCTGATGGTTATTAATGGGACGCTGGGGCCTCGGTTCGTTTTTAGTTTCTTTCATATGTAAAATTATTCTGACAACTTTTTCCATGTTTCTGATAAGTAAAGGACATTTTTAACAAAGATCCCGCTGCTTTAGATCCCGGGGCTTTTGACAGGGTCAGGGTTTGGATCAGAACTGAAAAGGTTCTGGTTCCCATAATAACCTGCCTAAGTGGTTCTGTTGGTGTCAGTATCATGGTTCTCATTTAACTGGACCAGGTTTAGAAATGTTTAATGTTTCTTGGTTGATTTCCTTTCAATTTCCTTTCAATAAAATTTCCTTTCAATAAAATGACAGATCACCTGTAACCCGTTTGAACGGATAACCAAATGAGGATAAATGCTGCACTAATAAGCATCATGAAGCTGTATTTAAAAACTACATTTTAAACAAACGTTAGTAAAAGCTGGAAATCAGCTGGAAGCCTGTGGATTTGATCCAACATTCATCAGAACTTCTGCTTCAACCGCTTTCAGGTCTCCTGAGAAGAATCAGAGAAGAAGTCGGTTTAGGTTCTGCTGACATCAGCAGGACTAATCCAGCATGAAAAAATTAAATTTAACTACAATTGTGTTGAAAGAAGGTAAATATTTCCACTGCTGTGAGCAGATCAGTAAATAAGCTGCCAATTGAATAAAATGATTTATGTTTAAAATAAAAACATTCCTTTTCCTTAAATGTATGATCTCTATACTTCAGGGACAGAAATCTTCGTACCATTGGGAGATCATTTTACTTAGCTGCTCATATTAAGAACAAACACATTTTCTACTACTTTAGTTTTCGCAGCGTAAAACCATGGAGCCGAGGGCAGTATAAAGGGATCCAGAATCTAAAACACTGCTAAACTGATTCAAAAAAGGCCAGTTTTCTTAAAATAAGTGGTTTTGTTTTGGATTTGAGTAGAAAAGTAAAATGATCTGATCAGATTTTTGCATTAGAAATGAGAGAAATATCTCAAATATTGGATTCTCATAAATCAGAGGACAGAATATTTATCTCACCTGAAGGGCAACAGCGCTTATTTAACTTACATGTGTGTAATATTTAGATATTTGCATCATTTGCTCCTCTGGGTGGATCTTTTATCATAACTACTTAATTTTTGCTAAAACTGTCTCCTCCCGGCCTGTGGGTGGCGCACTCCACCGCCCGCTGTCTTTCACAGCCAGTGGCTAGTGTTGGCAATGCTAACGCTAACCACAAATTTTCACGACGTTCTCCCTTATTTTCCTGTTTTTGTTTTTTGTTTTGGCCTAAATCTTGGAAATGAGGCGCACCGATTATCAGCCGTCCGATCGATCAGCCTCGATTTGTTTCATTTTGATAAACCGATATTTAGATGTGAACCCGATCTCATCCGCTGATGGTATCTGGCTCTTTGAAGATCTGAGAACCACACACTGTCAGTGAACTAGGATTTCCATCAGAGAGCAGAGATCTGAGATATTTTTATTGTTCATCTGCATATTGAAGGCAGGGCTCGATGTTAACCATCGCCCGATCGCCCGGGGAAAGTAGTTTTTATTGTCGGGAGAGTACAAATTTCATTGCACTTGCCCGGTGGGCAAATGCAATGATCGCAAAAAAAATATTATCACTCAAAATGACTTTAAAATCACCGACATTCCCTGAAAATGACTCACAAGCGTTGCCGGCGCCATTTTTGTTGTTTTGTACAAATGATTTTAAAAAGTCGTGTGATTTTCCGCTAGATGGCTTGATTCAGGTCTTGGGGAGAGAATTCTGCAGAGCAGCAGCTGGATGATGAATTTAATTTATACTATAATACACACTAGATTAAAAATGATCAGTCAGGGATTAGGAAAATAATAATAATTGTCTGCGCATAGTGTAAATATTTCTATGGCAGTCTTCTGTACAGTGATGCAGGTCATACATTAAAAAATGTTCATTAAATTTTTTTCTCTTAGACATTGGAGCGGTGCATTTAAATGTTATAGAGCTAAACATGTTAAATTAGTGAGTAGTAGTGGTGTAAGTTTTTAACCTGTCAAGTTTTCTTTAGATTTTTAACATTACAATTTATATTTCTTAAAGCACACAACAGTTTAAAGCAAAGTTTAGTTTGAAAAGAATGTGCAGGAAGGATTGAAAAGCATGTTATCACGGTAATGTAGGATTGAGTTCATTATCTGACGCATGCATATACACACCAGGAACCTGGAAACTTACTGAATTACAAAAAAACATTTAAAAAACAAACATGTTTCATTGATATATATATACAAAAAAGAATATTAGGAACTATATTTATTAAACATTATACTGGGCAAGTAAAAATTGTTTCTGGGCAAATGAAATGTGAAAGTCACTTGCCCAAAGGGCAAGTGGTAAAAATCCAGAGGGTCAACCCCTGGAAGGTGTCGCATGATTTTACAACAACAGTCGGTTTTAGGGATATTTTAGGGATTCTTTTCAAAGGTCAAATAACTCAGTATCGGTTAAAAAATCGGAATAAGGACCTGATTCTTTTTAAAGGTCTATAAAATCAGTATCAGCTCAGTCAGTTTCCGATCACTTCAGCCTACGGTTGCTGTTGATGCAGAATCCTTTTCTGTGGATGTTGCCATGGTAACAATACATAATTATTTAGGTTGTTTGGAACTATCAAACAATGATCTATATACTTTCAGTAAAATAGTTACTTTTATTCTGCAGATGGACGTTTTGATTTTGTTTTTTCCAGCTTTTATTGTCATTCCACCTTCACAGTACAGAGCAATGAAATTTAACCCATCCCACTGGGCAGTGGGCTGCCATTGTGTGGCGCCCGGGGAGCAGCGGGCTGCCATTGTGTGGAGTAGCAGTGGGATTCAAACCTCTATGTTGCTCAAACCACTAAAGGCCACTACTCACCGAGAAGAGCAGTCCAAGTGTCAGAAATGGGATTTGAACCCACGCCTCTATTGGAGACCTTAACTCAGCGCCTTGGGTCGCTCGGCCATCTGTTTTGAACATTTTATTGATTAAAAAGTTGCAGCAATGATCTTTATGGACTTTAAAATGGCCGTTTGACCTGAGAGAAGGAAAGGAATGTGACTCCTTTCCCTCTCAGTCAGATGGAGGAAGGAGACGAGCTGCAGGATGCCAGCAGCTGCTGAGGGATCCTTTCTACCAGCTCCATCAAATAGTTCAACATTATAGGAACCTAAACCTGATTTATTCTGTCTTCATCTGTGGGAAAATGAAGCAAAACTCTTTGTTCACATTTGCTCGTTTGAACGTTTTCGATCATAATCCTTGTTTTCAGTGAAACTCTTCATTTAACAGCAGATTAAACTGAAAACCAGAATGCCTTTGATAGGAGGAAGACTTTGATCAGACTAGTTTATGTTTTAAATCTATTTAAATCAATGTTTTACAGGCTGTCATCAGGGAAATTAAACCATTTAACTATTTCTCACTTTAATAACAATTATCAAACAATAAAAACACACTTTGTTGTGAAACATTTAAACGAGCGACTGTATTTAATCCTAGAAATAAAAAATATCCTGCAAGAATGTATGAAAATAAATGATCTAAAATAATAAAAAATAATGTAAATAATAAATAAGGAACCTTTATATACTGAATAAAGTTTGATTTAAATAGAATATGTATTCCAACGGGAAATTAACTCCAGTCTAGTGTGATGAATATCTATGTGGTGTTATCTATGGAAATAGAAATATCAGACTTTGCATGTTTCTGATTTATACTTTAAAGTACTGCATGTTTTTTTAGTGCAGAAATTAAAATAAACTATGGAGAAAAAATATCATCTTTGAAGAATTAGTATTTTTTATCCCACAGAAGAAAAAAAAAAGCAGCATTTGCAAAGAAAACGCAGAAATGTGGCGATTATTTCCGCTGCGTGAAAAGAAGCATCGATCCTTTTAGTTTGGAAATAATTAAAAATAACTAAAGCATTAATCAGTAAATCATTGCTGGTTAGTATTAATTAAAAAAGAATAAAAACTTTCTGAATTTATGCTGTTTTATCAAGTTTTCCTCTTTGGGAGATTTTCATCTTAAATAAAGAAGAATAACGAAAAAGCTGCATTTCATTTCCGCTTATTTTTAAACTCATTATTAAGAGTTTTTAAATGATTTTCAGGCTTTTATACATATATATATTTTTTTACCTTCATTTTGTTCAATATTTTGCGGTATTCCGAGTTTGGCGATGAAACCAAATGTAGAAGAGAAAAACAGAAATCTAAAACAGGAATCAGGAATATCTTTTTAAAATGTTCTGGATGTTTAAACTGAGCGTGTTTCTGCAGTGATCCAAAGCGCAGCCGCGTCCAGCTCCTTTCAGCAGGTCTGCCTTTAGATCAGTGCCTGATAATAACCAGAGGTGACATTAAAATAAAAAGTGAGTGGGTTTAAACTCTGAGTCACACACGCCAAAGATGACGCAATGAGGGATTTGCCCAATAAAACTTTCCAACATCAAAAACAGATCTATAAATTCAGATGAGACAGTCTTCCTCTGTCCATCTGAGTAAAACAACAGCAGGTTTGTCTTCATCATCATCCTCCTTCATTTAATAAGCTTTAAAACACAGCACAACAAAAAGTCCACATATTTACACCTTAAAACAGACACATGAACAATGAATGGAGTGACACCGGAACGGATGTGTACAAAAATAGAGATTTACATTTTAAATGGACAGATTTACATGTTGCATTAGAAGCGTCCTTGAATCGGTCGGTGCACAGAGGAGACGCGCAGCAAGGCACTGAGACACACTCATCATCAGACACATTAAATGGAATAATAACTTAGACGGTGACATTATTGCCGTTAATTTACATCAACAAACACACTTTTATTCTTCTGTTCATGTTTGCAGACAAACTGCTTGGCCGGAGCGTCCGTGCGCGTCCAGCCTGGCTGTGCGTCAGGGCGCACTGCTGCGTAAAAGTTCTGCGCCCCGCTGCGTAAAAGTTCAAAGCGCTTTCCTCCGCTTCTCCGGTTCTTCTCTGAGAGCAGCTTCCTGAATGCGGACCTAAGAACAGATCCCAGCGGATGCGCTGATGCCGCCTGACGGCCGCTCCAACACGGAGCCTCCAGAGGAGGAGGAGGAGGAGGAGGAGGCCGCGGAAGCCTTCCTCTCCTTCTGCCGCAGGTGGATCTTTGTGTGTCTCTTCCTCTCGTCGCTCCGGGCGAACTTGCGGCCGCAGAAGTCGCAGGCGAACGGCTTCTCTCCGGTGTGCGTGCGGATGTGCGTGGTGAGGTGGTCGCTGCGGCTGAAGTTCCGCATGCAGATCCGGCACTGGAAGGGCTTGTGTCCGGTGTGGATGCGGATGTGTCGGGTCAGTTCGTCGGAGCGGGAGAACCGCCGGTCGCAGCCCTCCGCCGGACACGGGTACGGCCGCTCGTGGACGGGTGTTTTGCTGGGTCTGTTGGGATACTTTCTGGGCCGCAGGATCGGCCGGAGGGGCAGGTTCTGGGGGCTGTAGGCGGAGGACAGCCGCGGCTGCCCCGTTTCTGAGCCGCCGCCGCCCGGAGCCCCCAGAGTAAAGTTTCTGATAGTGTTGAGCGGAGTCAGAGGAGGGGGGACTCGGAAGGTGTCCAGCGGACACGGGACGAAGGGCTTCCGGTCCGGCATAGCTGCCGGGTGCATGTCCCGCTGGCAGGCCGGCTGGAAGAAGCCCGGGTAGTCCGGGATGATGGGGAAGAGGCCCGGGGCGTCCGAGCCGCTGGGCGGCTTGGGGGAGGAGTAGGAGGGCGGGGGGTAGGAGGAGGTGGCGGACAGGAAGGCAGAGGGGTCCTGGTACACCTCCCCACAGCCGGAGGAGGAGTAGGGGGGCGGGGGGGAGTACAGGTGATGGTGGTGGTCCAGGTCCGCCTGGCTCTGGGCCGCCATGGTGCAGCTCAGACCTCCGCCGGAGAAATGATGCGGGGATCCAGAGGATGCCGGAGAGGAGGAGGCTGAGGAGGAGGGAGGGGGGGGCGGCGGCTGGGCCACGTTGAAGATCCCAGAAACGATGTTAATGACTCCCTCTGGGTTCCAGTTCCCGGGGTACTGGGAGTCGATGGAGAACTTCCCCATGTAGGTGAAGGTCTGGTTCCGATGGGCCGCGGGCTGAGAGAAGCCGCTGGAGTAGGACAGGTCCATGGAGCTGTCTGCGGAGCACAACAAACCATGATTCACCCACCACAGCAACACGCTCTCCTCATCAGCACCGCTGCTCCTCATCAGGGAGGAGAGCAGAGAGTGACTCCCTACCTGCTGCCGCAGTCAGCGGCTCGTAATGCGCCCCCAGCTCTGCGCTGGGGAAGATGGCCACAGAGGTGGGCAGACTGCTGGAGAGCTCATCCACGGAGTACACGCTGTCTGGATGCACGAACCCTCCGAGGTTCACCGGAACTTTCTCCAGAGTTTTCGCTGTCATGGTCTCTGCTGTGGGAAGGAGCGGGTAGGAGCGTGGAACCGGGCCGGACCGGGTCACAGCTGCACCGGGTCTCTGGCTGCCTGTGAGAGGATGGAGCTGCGCTTCATCAGACTCACTTCCAGTCTGACTTTGGTCACGGAAGCGGCCGCCCTGATACTACTATGTATATATGGGAAACCTTTTGAATGCACCTGCTACGTCATTACCCAAATATGGACAGGGAGGGCCAATACGGCACGCGCTGCGGGTTCTGATTGGCCGCGCGGCTCCGTGACGATTTCCAAGGGAATCACTAGTGAGTGGAGAGCCCGCCGCTGCAGGACAGATAACGATCTGTTTCCACCTGCTGTGGAGCGACACCGAGGTTCTGCAGAACTTTACAGCCTGGTACCGGACCCAGCATGCAGCCGGAACCGGATCCACGCCACGCATCCGACCTTTATCCTCTGCCGCTCAATTAGCGGCATTAAAAAAAGAACAAAACAAGAAAGCCGAAGTTTGCCTTTTCAACCCATAAAAGGTCGAATCCGGTTGAAAGGACACGCCCCCTTTCCATATTTGGTGATCTATTCCGGAATTTGATCATCGGAAAGTGACGAGTTTTACCGAGCTGTGAGAGAGGGGGGTGAGGAGGGGGGGAGGCCGTTGCTGTAACCACAGTCAAATCAGACAGATTGGTGGAATTTCTCCTTCTGGGCCTGAAAGGCTGGAAACTTGTGACGCTCTGATTTGACTGGATTTAGTTCACGACAAGTTAACTCCTTTCAGGTAGAGATATTTATTTATAGGACATCGGAAAGGAGAAACCAATATTTCTTGACTTATGGCTGCTGACATCACAAATAAAGAAGGTTGATCCTCATTAATATATTATTTTCTATTTGGTTTAGATTGGACTAGAAAAGTAAACAAATAATAAAACCATTTAGTTGTTTTTTTCGGCTCACCAACTGTTTACAGGAAGCTGCAGCAGCTTATTCTGTAATAGATGTGACCTTAAAGAGGAAAACATGGCTGCCCTCATGTGGAGTCCTCAGGAACAGATCCTGCCTCTCAGCAGCTCTCTGTTCCACGCTCGGCTCTATCTGACTGTGAAAAGTCCCTCTGTGGGTGGAGAGCAAAGATAGACAGAGAGCAGAACACGCCGGGCACCTCGGGTGGAATCTACTTTCCGTTTTGTCTGCTTTTATGTTTGTGTGTTGCACAGCCGACCGCAGTCTTGTTTAGATCTAAATCAAACCTTTCTGGTGACCCCAAGCAACCTGACCTGTAAGAAGATAAATGTTCAGCCATGTGATAAATAGTTAATGCTTTTTTAGAGGAGCTGCTCACTTAACCAGCTGACACAGCTAGTTAAGACAGGCTCCAAACCTGTGGCCCTTTAAAGTGGGAAAAATGAACGTTTAATGATGTTAAATTGAATGGGCATAGATCTTTATTAAGGGTCTGAGGCGGAGCTAGCACCCAGCCATCCGTAGCCCACCCTGTGACGCACGGCCACCCAGCAATAAACAGCCTACCTACACACACCAAAAAAAAAAAAAAAAACTTTCCCTTTTCTGTAAACTTCACATGAATCAGAGGATGTTCAGGTATAAATAGAAGTTGTACATCTGTGAAACTTTTCAACCGGTTTGGATCCACAGTTTGGATTGAAAGTCCATCAGATTAATTCAGTTTTCAACTCAATCCAGTTTATTTCTATAGCGCCAATTCACAACATGTCAAAACAGGCCGATCTCCAACATCTAGAAACAAAGGTGTTGATGGCAGCAGCACAGCTTATATTTCTCTCCAGGATGGAGCTTGCCCTGTTTTTCAGTGTAGTCCTGTTTCCAGGGGCGTCTCTAGGTTTAAGAGTCAAGGGTGG